CCAGGTCGACCGCCACCGACGAAAGCGACGGGTACATGTCTCGCAGCCCGGCCATCATCACCCATAGGATGTCCATGATGCAGGCGCCACGACATGCGGAGCTTTGAGGAAGTCCTTCGCTTCGTCGTGCAGCTGGATGCGCTCGAGCCGCTGCACTGCGACTACCGCGAGCTCTACGGACTGCCGCTCAACACTCTCATCCTCGGCTTCCAGCTCGACAAAGACTCGGAGCAGTACTTTGTCCCGCGGGATACGATGCTGCATTTGGTGCAGAGCGGCGCCATGAACGGTCGTCGGCGCAAAGGTGCTTTCTCTCTGCCATTCTCCTCGGCGCGGTCCTCATCCAGAGTGCGTCTGTGTAGAGGGCATAGTGCGCGAGACCCAGTACTCGCTGCCGACGGCCGCGCTGCTGCTCAACACCAGCGTTGGTCTTCTTGCCGAGATCGAGCAGCGCAAGCGTAGTATCGAAGCCAAGCGCGAGCGCATTGCACAGCAGCTCGCGGCGCACGAAGCGGCCGCCGAAAAGGTCGCGCGCCACGACTCGAAGGGGACGACGACGACGACTCATCGTCTCCGTCATTAGGAACAGCAGCGGCTGCGGCTTCAGAACCGCATTCTCGCCTTGCGCAAGGAAGTGGACGAGCGCAAACAAGCGCAGTCACGGGGTACGACGCGAGATCGGATGGGACGGCCGTGTGATCCGCGTCTAGTGAAATCGGTCGTCAAGGTCGAGAAGCAGCTGCTGCAGCTCGATGAGCGCATTCCGCGGACGCTCGTGCACCTTCTGGACATTCACAACAAGGCGAGTGACGAGCGCAGCGGTATCTGGGAACGACGGTTCGCAAGCATCCCATGCGCCGCATACAAACCAATGCATGCACCGTAGGACCGAGGTGCTCAAGGTCGCCCACAAAATCCGATCCAAGCAAGCCCATTTGGTCGTCCAGCTCCATGACATTTACCCCATCTCGTACGTTGGCGCGGGCGAATATTGCATTGGCGGCATCAAATTTATGAACGCCGACGTGGCCAACGGTATCAAGAGTGTATCAAGGTGTCGATGGCGTCAAAAATGCGGCGATCGATAGGCAAAGACGATGAAATGCTCTCGACGGCGCTCGGCTACATTGCCCACTTTGTATTTATGCTCGCCAAGTATCTCGACGTGAACCTCCGGTATACCATCGTGCACTGCTCGTCGCGCTCGTTCATGCGAGACGATGTGAACGACCCAAACATCGAGTACCCGCTCTTCAAGCGCGGCGTCGAGAAGGACCGGTTCGAGAAGGCGTGCGTCTTTCTCAAGAAGGACGTCGAGCAGGTACTGCACCTACCCCTTGTCGCGCTTCAACATCAAAAACATGTAGTTGATGCAAGCACGGGGCCTCGAAATCGTCGTCAACAGCCAGCTCCTCATCCGCCTCAAATCGATCGTCGACGCTGAAGTGGCGTGGCTCCAAGCAAATAGCAGCGCAGCCTCGTCGTCCTAATGGAACGACAGGCGAGCCAGCCTCTCGCAAAGGCTCGAAAACCCAATATTCGTATTTCGACCAATCGCAGGTCGCTCAAATTTTGTCATGGGCCAATCAAATCCGTTTCGGGTTGCATTTTATCCAATCCAAAAAATAGCCACAATGCACGCTTAATGATATTCAGTGGGCTGCAGCATTTTAAAGCCACTTCATCAAACCCATCTTGTGATTTGTATCGAACCGCATGACGTCCGAATTAAAACACATGGCCGACATGAAAAAAAGCGGCGTCCCAAAATATCTTGATTTCCGAGAGCGATGACGACACGTCGTTGCATCTTCCAGATCCATCGACATGGCCCACGAGCTTCCTCGTGGTTGCGTGCCTCACGCCGGCCATCAACTTGCTGCCGGAAGGTCCCAAGTGGGTGCTGGCCCGCCACGGCGAAGAGGCGTGCAAGGCGTGCCTCGTGCTCCTACGTCGGCGCCAAGACGTGGCCGCCGAACTCGACGAGCTCCAGGCCAAGCAAGTGCACAAGTACAGCGGCGCCAACGGCGTCTATAAGGCGTTCATGAGCACGCTTCTTGTGAGCATCTCGGCGTTTTCGTCCTTGCCGCTGTACGTGGACACGGCCCGCGTCTTTACGGGCCTCGCCCGGCCGCTAATGCTGACCAACTGCCTCGGCACGGAGCTCCTCTTTGCGAGTCTCTCGTTCTTTTACATTGAGAAGCTGAAGCACAAGCTACTGCTGCTTGTGACGCTGGTCGGCGTTGGCGCGGCGCTTCTCGGTGCCCACGATCGGTTCCAGATCTGTGGCGTCCAAGACCAGACCGCGCTCCAGGCGCTGCTGATCACGCTGTTTGCCGTCAAGGGCGCGGGCCTCCCGGCGACGCTGTGGGCCGCGGTCGTTGGTCTCTTTCGCGTGCACGGGCGGTCCATTGCGGCGCCGCTCTTCTTTGTGATTGTTTTGGTGTCCAAGCGGCGGCCACGTATGTCCGGATTGACACGGCGACGACGCGCTCGAGCAGCTCGAAGGAAGCGTTTTGGATGTTTGGGCTCGTGCGGCCTTGGTGTCCTCGGGACGGCCGGCCTCGCCCGTCGCGCGAACGGCCTTGTGTGCGCGACGTCCGAGATGGAGTAGAAGCGCAAGATGGCGGCCGAGACGCCGCTGCGGCCGCACAACTCGAATCTGAGGCTTTTCACGCCCAACGTCCAAGCGCATCACGGGCAATCGGGCGCTATCACCACGCAAGGCCAGTAGCACTCCGTACCTCCAGACGCAGAGCTTTGACGAACATACCTCCTCGCCCCAGAAGAACGTGGTGTGAGCAGCTTGAAGGCGAGTCGGGCTGTTTGATTCATTGCATTTTGCAATGAGAATAAGTCTTCTTGACGTGGTGGGTAGGGTTTCTGAGAGACTTGAGGAGTATGGGTGAACCTTCTTCTCCTTGGCAACGCCGTTGAAAGCTTGGGCAGACGACGTGCAAGCGCTGGCTGGTGGGTCTCTTGTGTGGCCACCAGGGAGCTAGTAGCTGCGTGTGGATCGTTGCCGCGCCTCCAAGGTAGACGCCGTGGACCGTCGTCGTCTGTGTGTCGCGTAGCGTCGTCTTCTGCGTCTTTGACTCGGACAGAGTCATGGTCCTCGTGGCTTGGCCGAGGTGCTAGGCTTGAAATGATTTAAATTTTGACAAGCATAAACTCCCAAGGGTCTTGCGAGAGCAGCTATTCTTTCGTAGCGATACCGATCAACCGCATGCAGGTGCTTGCTGTAAATACGCATTATTAAATATGAATAAATATTGAGAAGCACAGGCGCGTTCCGCGGGCTGGTGACGGACGGTGCATGCTGGCCTGCGCGAATCACGTTCGACGCACTGTCGTCGCGGGTTTCTACACATGCCCATGAGCCAATTTGACGATATTCCTCGGTTGCCCTACCCCTTGTCCAAGACGCTTCTCGTGCCCGTCGCGCCCCTAGTCTCAGAAACGAATGAGATACATGAAAGAGCGCGTTCCAATGGAGACGTGTACCTTGGGACTGTCGTGACGCTTGCGCTTGGCGTCCGAGGGCATTTCGTTCTTGGATTCTTCCACGTCCGGGGCCGCCTTCTCTTCCTCGTCCGGGTTCGCCTTCTCTTCTTCGTCATCGACGCGTCGCTGCTCGAGCGTCGCGCGGAGCGTCGCGTGCTGGTGGTTGACGCGGGCCTTGAGCGCGTCGTCGGCCTCGGTTTCGGCCCACACGGTCGCAAAGGGCTTGGCGCCGGCGTCCAGAAACGCGCACTTGTCCTTGGCGTGCGCAAACAGCATGCGCCACGTCGCGTGGCCTTGCAGTGCGGACGCATTGCCTGCGTTATTCGCATGTAGCATCCTCATCCACAAGCAGCAGATGCGTACAGTTGACGATGCAGAAGCGGCGGCTGCGCGACGTCATGACGTTGGTGCGTCGGTCGTCGTCAAGGAAGCCCACCTTACCACTTGTGACGCACGAGACGATGATGATGTCCTTCTCACGGCCCTAACCTGCGTCAGTAAACAACGGTCTCTTGCGAGAGGTACCTGGAAGCCGTCGACCGAGGACACTTCGATGCTGCTCCACGGCGTCGTCTCCATCTTGGTTGCCATCTTGGCTGCCACCTTGGCGTCAATGGCATCCACAATCTTGTGCACTTGCGGCTTGTACGGTGTGATGATCCCAATGCTCCACTCGCCGCTCTGAACCCGCGAAAATGTCCGCGTGAGTTGCTCGATCTACCGAAAAAGAAGATATGTCAGCATGACGATGTGCGCCGCGGTGGACGGACCTGGTCGATGCAAAACGTGACTTCGGCGTCGTTGTACTTGGAGGTGCCGACACGCTTTTCCATGCCAGCAATGTCGACGACGGTGAGCGGCTGGAACGCCGGGTGCGCGTACATGGCCGCGTCCTGCGCCAGCACGCGTCGCGCGATCGCCGGCGCGTCCGTCAAGGCAGCGTCGTAGAACGCCTTGGCCGTGAACGCACTCATGAACGGGTGCATGCGATGTTGCTCCTGCAAATCGATGAGAAGACAGATCGTCCATCGGTGCGTACGTTGAGCATCGTAACAGGCAGATACGCTTCCAGGCGCTCCATGAGCGAGACGTCCAAGCCGTGCGCCTTGGAGTCGGCGCTGAGGACGGTCGGCGCGAGCTGCTTGGTGTCGCCCACAAAAAAGAACCGGCCGGCCTGCGCGAGAAGCGCGAGGAGCGAGCTCGGCTCGGGCGCTTGGCCGCACTCGTCGACAATGACCGCGTCAAAGCTACCGACACAAAGGGATGAGTTGATATCGGGTGAGAGAGAGGCGGACCCCGAATGCCGGAGCTTGTGCGTCATGTCGGCGCCAGCGCACGACGAGTGCGTCGCAAAGACGACGTTGGCCTTGGTCGCAACGCGCGCCAAGAGCTCCCACTTGTTCAGTTCCTTCTCGACGCGGAGGCTCGTGACGCGCTTGTCGTCGGCGGGAAGCTTGTGGAGCGTGTCGTCGATCTCCTTCTTGTACTGCGCGGCTGCCGTCGCGAGGCTAATGTCCCGCGCGCCAGGTCGACTGCCCATCTTGACGGCCGCGTCGGAAGTCCTTCCGGGCGCGGCAGCTGCGCTTGGACTTTCGTAGCGTGGCCGACGACGAAAATCCCGACCGAGAAGACGCGCGCGATAATTTCGTCGATCGCCGCGTTGGAATCCGAGGTCACAAGGACGCTCGGCAACTGACCCTTGGACGGCGACGCCTTGGAGAGCAGGGCCGAGAGGAGGGCGCAGATCGTCGTCGTCTTGCCGGTACCCGGCGGCCCCTTCCAGAGCGAGAGACCGGTCTCAAGGTTGCCGAGGCCGCGACGCAGCGCCTTGAACTGCGACGGGTTGATTTCCGACGCGATGAGATCGGCCACCGCGCGGTCCACGTCATAGAGCGACGGCTAGAACAGAAAAGAATAAGTTTCACGCAGATGGTGTAGACAAGAGGTGTACCGTGATGAGCGACTGGTACACGTTGTCAAGCGTGGCCGCCGCCATCGCAATGGCTTCCGTGGGCGCCTTGGCCTTGTCGACGAGCTCGGCCACGACGTTGTGAATCTGGGTCACCTAGGAACCCAAGCATTGAAACATTGATACCTCCGATACGACGATCTTACCTCGAGGGGTTCGACCGAGATCTTCATCTTGGTGAGATCCGTCAAGAGCGTCAGCACGACGTCTTCGTCCTCCTTGGACATCTGTCGCATAAACGTGAGGCGATTGACTGCAAAGGAATCCATGTACCTGCTTCTTGGTCGCCTTCTTGCCCTTGCCATTGGTCGACATCTTGGGCACCCCGGTCGACTTCTCGATAACGTCGCGGAGCTTGGTCGCGGCAGCCTTGAGCACCGAGACGGACGCAACAGCACTTGACTGGTTGAGCACGACGTCGCGCAAGTGCCCGGGCAACTTGTCGACGGCGCCGACGCCCTGGACCATCCGCAGCGTCGTCACCAGCGACGCAACCACCTTGGCTTCGATCTCCGTGGCCTTCGGGAGGTCGAGCGCCGTCTTCGTTGCCTGGAGTAAGACGACGTCGACCATGTTTCCATGCACGCGCTCGACGATGCCGATAGCTCGTCGCGAATTGTCGACCTAATCGTTTTATGCGCATTGAGGAGACGAGGCAGCCGATTCGCGCACCTTGAGGCGGACGACGTCGCCAAGGATGAGCGTGTTCTTGCCTCGCGTTTGGAACGTCGCAGCGTTCGGGTCCGAGACGCCGTCGAACGAGGCGGTGAGCTCAGTGTACGTGGCAGGCAGCGTGCTTTGCCTACATTTGCATAGAAAATATGAGATTGGCGTGCGATATCGAGGGAAAACGTACCCCGAAATCATCGCGGCTTTGGCTTCGGCGACGAGAAGCGCGGTGAAATGCTTCTTGTATGTTTCCGTCGTGGACATCTTGGACGAGAACTCGGGCGCCTCGGACAACAGCACTTATATATATATATATGAACGTGTTTCGCGTTATCTTCCTTACAAAGAGTTCGCATACGTAGAGACTAGCAATCTCCTTCTTCTTAGGGGAGATTGCTAGTCTCGCAAAGGACTGACACAAGCGGTCGACGACAGGGTCGACCGCCTGCGAGGAGAGACGCCCCATCATAGATGCGACGCCGCTCAGGACAACAGCACTTGGAGAAAAAACGCGCGCGTCTCGGTCGATGTTTTCGGCGTCTTGAGCGCCTTGGGCGCCTTGGCGTCGTTGAACGCCGTCTTCATCGCCTCGATCGGGTCGAGCTCCACCACCGCCTGGAGACGCGCGCCGGCCTTCGTCTTCTTCTTGGCGGGCGATGACACCGGCGACGGCTGCGGAATGAACTCGATCAATTGTGGTGATCGCGACGGCAACGGCGTCAAGCGTCGCGGCGACGGAGACGTCACGAAGCGCCCGCCAATGAGTTGGGATGACGGAGACGCCGCGAGGTGTGGGTTGCCTCTGATGCGCTGAGGTGATGGAGACGTCATGATGTGCGGGTTGCCTCTGATACGCTGAGGCGTTGTCGGCGGGTCGACCGGGATCGCAGCGGAGAGCTCAAGCAGTTTTGGACGTCGCGCTTCCACTTCATGAGGCGATGCTTCCCCGCAAGGAGGAGGTCGAGTTGTCGGCCGCCAATCGCGATGAACTGCTTCGTGTCGATACCCGGAGCGATCTCCAGTTTCCCTTGCCCGATGAACGCAGCGCGGTGACCGAGAGGAAGAGTTGGGAGGTCGGTGGGCAACACCATTTGCGCGCGCGCCTCGTTGTACGGCACCACGACGAGCTCGTCCGTAGCCTGGAGGCCGTCCGGGAAGAACTCTTGGAGCTTGGCGGTGTCGACATCGTGGGTGTCCTTGGGGAGAAGGCTGCCAACGTCGCGGAGCGAGACTTCGACCATGGCCTTGAGCGCCGTCGAGACGTCATGCGACGGAAAGACCGCCGTGACACTCGCCAGGTCGAGCTCGTAAGCGATCGTCCCACCACGGCCGGGGCGACTCGTAACAAAGCGGCCCACCATCGTCAGCCTCTGCTTCAAGCTCTCTGGAAAATGGAAGCCACCCCTTAGTTAGTCGTAGGTTCGCGCGCGCTTAGTCCGGCCTTCGAAGCGCGCGCATGCATGCTTGCCGCCACCGCATCTCATCGACGCGACTAGTTTGATATTTGAGGCGTCTTTTTATTTTATTGCATACTTACTGTATATGTATCATGTTAAAAAATGAGACCAAAACGTAAAAGAGATAGGCCCCCACCTGACGCCCTTTGAGGTCCTGTGATTTTGGACGGTTTTGCCTGCACCGCTTTTCTACCGTCGCCAGGAAACCAGCCGCATCCAGTGTCGGGTACGATGCTGCCGGTAGGTCGCGTCCAGCGTTGCTCGTCGAAGATGACCAGTGAGGTCGCATGCGCGTCCGTAGCGCGGTATTCTACGCTGTCACTACACCACATCGACCGCCTTCACCAGAGACGGTCGCGTCTCTGTAGTATGATGACGGGTGTCGGACCTACCATTTTACACAACAGCACAGAAAAGCCTCGTCATTTTGAATCCCACACAATGTATGGGGAAAACACACTTGCACGGACACCACTACTACCGGTAGTACCAAGGAGTACGCTGGATGGTACCAGCTTCCATGCATTCAGGCGTAGCACTACTTATGCAAACACTATGTAAGGAAGATAACGCGGAACACGTTGATATACCGGTATATATGGAGCAATCACTGTGCACTCCGCGCACGGCAAGTTGTCGGCATCCTCGTAGACGCGGATGATTGAGCCACCTGTAACCGATCAAAGCGAATAACTTCGCCCGGTTTAGGACGCTTTTGAGCACGTTCACTTTAGGTGCCGACACTATACGGGCACTCGTGGTGGTCTAAATGACCTGCGTCGCCTCGATTGCAGACGCCAGCTGTAAAGCTACCTAGTCCCACACAGCGTCGTGCAGATCCCACCATCAGACGTCTTGGACTCGATCTGTAGAACAACTTGTTCATGATACTAAGTCCACAATGCCACCTCCATCATCTACTTTCATCTAGTACTTTGCAGCGGTACATACGCAGCACCGTCGTTTACGCATCACGTTTCGAGAATTGGTGTAGAAAAATGACCATATAATCGTCCAAATAGCTCGGGATGGCAAACGAATAAAACGCGTACAAAATCGTCGGTGCATCATCACCACCTCTGCACACATAGTGTTATTGCTCTGTATTCGTACGGTGGTAGAATTCGAGCTACACCTAGACGAGACGGGCTCAACCAGATTTACGCGATAAAAAGCAATAACCTCGCGCAAAGCCGCAAATTTTTGCTAGACGCAGCTTTGCACACATAGTGTCATTGCTTGAATTCCGCTAAATCGAAGAATTTTGTGCTGGCGTAGACGCGACGGGCTCAACCGGCTGCATTCATTTTGGCAAAATAGCCTCTTGGGGTTCCAAGTTTGAGGTCTTGACGTGACTACAGTCGCCCGCACCTTACACCGACAGAGATCGAAGACCTTTTTGGCGGACAAAATATCGAATGCATGCCAAACCCACTGTAAATCGATAGCCAAGACAAAGAGGAACACTTTGACAGTTTGATCTTCTTCGTAGCATGTTTAGTTGTGGATAATTAGAAACTCGAAGTGAGGCCATTTACAGAGGCGGAGTCTCAAAGTGTCCACCCTCATGGTGGGTACACCGGGTCGCCACACCCATTATCGGGATGAAAAGACGTTCTCCGGATGATGTACCCCGGGTCATCTTTATTGGTGGGTGCAGCACTCAGGAACAAGCGCCAGGGCGGCTCGTGAGGCCAAGCGTCAAGCACTCGCGCTAGGCGGCGTTATGGAACTGGACTGCGAAGAGAGCGACAGCAGCGAAGAAGAGGCGACCGCGCCCACGAGCCTTGCCTAATGGTATTTACCGGTACAATGTATTTCAATAACACTATTTCCGTGTCGTTCATACGTAATGTACGATACCGTATCATACGTCATATAAAACGCAAGACGTACAGTACGACAATGTACGTCCGGGATGCGACGACGATATCGCACACGGTGATTTGGTCATGACGGCGTGCACCTTCCGGCGCGCGCTCCTCGCCGTGGGCCTCATGTGCATCTTGGCGTGCGCAGCGCTGGTCACGTATCTGGACGAATCCTCGTACCTCGCCATGTCGCTCCGCAAGTTCCGCACCAAGCGCGAGGCCGCGTTGTCGACGCACCACTTGAGTACCTTTAGCCGCGCCGCTGTCCTCTTCTTGCCCGCCAGCAGCGGCAACGACCGGTTCCTCTCTGAGTTTCGCTGGTTCCACCGCAGCTGGCTCGAGATGCAAAAGCACGAACCAGCGTTGTGGCGCACCGACATTGTCGTTGTCAGTGACGGTCCTGTCCCGCTGCTGGCCGAGCTCGGGTGCACGGACGCGCCTCGGGCCGCGCACGACGAGCCCAACAAGTGTGTCGCGGTCCAAAACTACACCAAGCTCCAGAACGAAAACTTCACCTACGCCTACGCTGACTCGGTCAATGTCCTCGCCGTCGACTTGCCCGCCACCGCCAACTACGACTGGATCCTCCGCACCGATATCGATACGTTCCTCACACCTGCGTTTGCCACGTGGAAGCCCGACTCGTTTGCTGTCGGTCTTGGCGGCTACTGTGGGCCTGGCACGTGCGACCGCCTCGCGCGTATCAGCCGCGACCTCAACCTGACCGAAGCCACGCAGCACAACATTGGCTCGACGTGGTATGGCCCAGCAACGACGCTCAAGGAGTGCGCCAAGCTCAGCGTCGAGACTATGATGTACCTTCGCGAGCACGAGTTTACCGACGAAGAGAAGAGCGAGGCGTACGGCACCAAAGGCTGGCCAAAGTGGCACTACGGCGTCTTGACCATGTACAGCGGCGACATTGCCATCAACCACTGCACGCGGTCGACCGGGTTCGAAACCCGTACCGATATGCTCGACTTTCCGTCGTCGTCGTCCGAGTCGCCGCACGAGCATGCACACCTGCACACGTGGCAGAACGACGTGCGGTTCAGCAAGTTTGTGTTTCACTTCAAGGGCTACCCCGACGAGAAACTCGAGGACTTGGATCTGAACGTGATTTCCGACTATGCGATGTACATGGCGCTCGATTCGCACAAGCACACGGGGACGTAGCGCCACTTTACAGTGTTAATAAATGTTTGCCTGGCACCCCTGTATGTGGAAATCGCCAAGCTCATTTTCGTGGCCAAAGACGTCACGTTGTGTGATAGCTCCAAGGATACACGATAGCAACTTGGAAACACCGGCAGTATGCTCGCCGAGCGCAACGCACTTACGTTCTCGAGTCTGTATCGAGCGACAGCATCGATCGCCTTTACAAAAACGACGCCGTCTTGCTCACGAAGGCACCCTAGGATGAAACTGGGTTGTCCATTCTGCTGGAAGCGATCCAGAACTGGTACTAGTAGTTTGGGTTGCCAAGGCTGAACTCGCGCATCGTCTCGGAACGTGATGGTGTCGTCAAGCTACTTGGCACGTACTCTCGATTTCTACCGCGAGCTCATTCCTCGACATCAATCGCTTCAATTCAAGGACAGGATGCCGGCAAACGTGCGTCGCGCGCTGGTGAGCACACCCAGGATGCCTCGCCGTTGTCATAGTGTCCGTACCTTTACTGCGAGCGGCTACTCTTACGGACATTTGAAGTGACGATCCATCTCAGCAACAATTGAGTACACAAGTATTCATAAATGCGGCACATCGCAGGGAGGGAGAGATTGCGCGCAAGTTCAACCGGCCTTGCCGAGGAGGCGATTGGTTCTGCAAATAAACGTGCTCGGTGTGTTTATGCGGCATACATTTAGAGCTGGTCCACGCGAGCCGCGTCATTTGTTTGCGGGGTTGTGCTACGTCGCAAAGCGCTTGTCTAGGAAGCGTGGTGTAGTTCTGTTCAGCAGTTGCAAATTCGAAGCTCGTCTGGTCGGCGGCGAACCAGCTTAGAGTGGCATATATCCGAGGACATCGTCGACGTTGACGACCATCCCGTCTTGTCCTTGTACCCTCGTTACTATCACGCTCGTTCGTCCCGGCATGCTCGCCTCGAGCCTCGGACCTCGGACTTTATCAGGCTCATCGAACTGGAGTTTGCCGCTCTTGGGGAGAGTCCCGACTTGTTTCACCCAATGAGACGCCGAGCGCCTCTGCATTTTAACCAATCATATGCTTGAAGGACGCCGGGTCGTTTAAAAAACAAAAAGAATAGGCACTTTTGTTTTCTATTGTATACGAGCGCAAGTAGAAAGCCAATGATCATTTAAAGAACGAGGGCTGAATGCTCTTTTAATCGACGTCCCACTCGCGTGACGACAACCCGTGTCTATGGCAAACTCGGGTGCTCACGTGACAGACATGGCCAACGACTTGGTCCAAGTATGTATGGAAAGCCAGCCTATCTGATACACGCACCTGATGCCACATGGCTCGTCGATGCTTGCTTCGTTGATTGTCGAATTGAACTCGTCGCCAGCAGTCGGACCATGCGAGGTACTGCGTCTAACGAGGCCACCGCGAGGCTAACCTGTCCGACAGTCGTTGCCACGCTGCTGCTGCTTTGCCTTTCACAGCCACTCGCCGCGAACCTGAGCCCGATCTGCAGCTCAATGGCGACGTGCTTCGCGCACGGCGCCACGCCGTGCGACCGCGCGACCCAGCTCTGCCCACCGTGCCTCTACACGGACGCAAAGGGCAAGAACCTGTGTTACGAACGCGTCACCGGCACCAAAATCTGCCCCTTCCAAGGCACGCTGGCCGACTGCTGTACGCTACCATAGCCCTCGAGTTGACATACCATGCGCCACCTCTTTGTAGCGACGACCGACGTCGTCATTCCCAAGGTCCTCAACAAGACCGCAACAGCGACGCCCGAAGCGACGACGATGGCACCGGAGGATGCGTCTGTCTGGAACGGGCTTGCGATTGCGATGACCGTCACAACGATCCTCCTGCTTCTCACGTTTCTTGTGCTCGGTGTGCTCTTTTATCGCCGCCGGTCGCGCCAACTGCAGTCCGACCACTGGCTGTACGCGACGAACGTCGATACGTCGCCTGTGCCCCACGGTGGCTACAAGGGGTCGCATGGCGGCTTCAAACCCTCACAGTACGAGTACCGAGGCCAAACGAACGGCGACCAGTGCACGCCCGTCATGGCCGACAACGAGACGCAGCTGTCAGCCTGCGACGTCATGATGGAAGCCAAGTCCGACTGGCGAGAGAGCCGCCCTGTGATGATGGAAGCCAAGTCCGACTGGCGAGACAGTCGTCCGTCCAACATTCTGCACCACTAGCCACGAATGTATTACGCCGTCATAATTATACAAGTTTTCTGCTACACACGCGTGAATGCAGCCAACCGAGTTCGTGCCCAAAGCGCCTCGTGCAGGACCGTCCGCGTCAGGTGCGGTGGCAAGTCGTCGAGCCGGTTACAACCGAGTGCCGCGTACGATACGACACCGCTTGGAGCGAGGGAATAAGATTGTTTTTCTATCCCTTGGCTTGGAGCAAGAACGGACAGAGTGTCCCGTCGAAACTAGTGAGGCCCCGAGCACCGGCATGCGTGACGCCCCGGTCGTAAACTGCAGCTATTTGGCCCGGTCGTCGCGGCTCATGTCTTGTTCGTCGTACCAGAAGAACCTCGAGGCTCTCAGCAGCCTCAAGCGATTGGGCACTTGGCCATGAGCAGAAGCGGAAGCTGAACGAGGCTGTCGCTGCCGCAAGCTCCAGCGTGCCAGGTCACTATTCTATGCGTCCGTAAAGCTAGGCTATTGTCTTTCCTCATTGCTCTTACAGCTAATAAATCGTCGAGCGATCTGAGGCGTTTCTTAGTCTGGTACTACAAATGTAACGCTATGGCGCTGGCTGCACCTTCAATTTGAGCCTCGAGAAAGGCCACCTCGATCTTGTTGCCGGCGACAGTTGACGCAAACAACTCGTTGTAGGCGACGACACTCGCCGCGTGGTTTGCGAGGGCTCCTTCGAGCTCACCCGCCACCTGATTGAGCTCACGCCGCAGAGCTTGGAGCTCCTGCGCGTGCTTTGTTGCAACTTCGGCTTCACGACGACGATCTGTGAGAAGGCGACGCTGCATCTCGTCTCGAAGATTTCTCTGGGCTATCCACGAGGCAGCCACGATCGCCGCTTGCGCCGCGACCGCCTGGTGAAGCGCCGTCTTCATAGCTGTGCATTCGTCTCGCGCTGCTTGCAGCTGAGTCACAAGGGCCCGTGCTCTTTGCCCGCAGCATGTGTCCATGTCGACGTGTGTCTCCTTTGTACTCATCTCCTCGGTAGGTGACGCCATGAGCGAACTCGCTGGTCGCATCGGTGCTTTGTTCACAGTGCTAGATGCCACTGGGTGCGCGGCGAGCTCATGGAGTTGGGCCCCACGCTTGGGAATGAGGGGGCACTGCTTCGAGCCCCCTTGGGTTGGCACGCCTACGACCAGATCTTTTGGGTCGAAATCGTTAGCAGGCTACACGTACCCGACTTGGCGCGGGGTTTTCCGTGAGCTGCGCGTATAGCAGAACGCTGGGCCACCGCCGCGGGTCTAGACCCTTCGCACGCAAGTGGAACCCGAAGTACTGTCTCGAACCGACGCTCGGGAGCCGAGTGGCGCCGGGTTTCTCTTCTGGCAGAAAGCGCTGTCGGCGTCGATGCGGCGCGTGCAAAGACCTTCCAAAGTGCTGGGGACGTTTGGAGGATGACCGAGGTTGTCCAGTGTACACAAAGCTCCGGCGACCGCAGCGCATCGAAGGAATCACCTGGGGCTTGCGCTTGCTTCGCCCCGCCTGCCCGAGCAGCGCTTGCATCGGTCGTGTCTGAGAGTAACTGCAATGGCTCGGGCTCGGGCGCGGTCGGGGGTTGGCGCGTTGACGCTGACGATGGGGCTTCAAATTTGTGAAGTGGTGCCGTCGTCTGCCAGCTCAAAGGTTCCGACAGTCTGCGGCCCGTGGTTCGAGGCGCTATCATCGGCGCGACAGCCCCGACGTGGCACACAACGGCTTTCGGCGTATCTGCGGGCACACGGTAAATCGAACGCGACTTGGCAAGAGTAGCGTTGCCGGAACATGCAGCGAGGGCGAGGGCCTCACGCATGACGAGCAGCTTGAGGTCTCGTTTTTGGTGGTACAAAGGGTCCCAATCTAGCATTGGGCATGCAAAACAAAAATGCGACCAGACTTCGGAGGTCATTTTCGATGATTCGGATTTTCTCTCTACAAAAAGTCAAAATTTTAAACTGCAAAGAGCAACCTTTGTGGATGCTCCGAGAGAACCTCTTGCAACAACGAGGGTTTCTAAAGAAAATTTTCCACGTGGCGCTGCGACCGCAACGACCGTCGTCGACGTTTGTACGCGCGAATTTCTCCCACAGCAACCTTTGTGATCGCTACTCCTCCACCGCACCACGTGTGACCGACCATTCTAGGACGATTGCAGACCTGGATGATTTTCTTCAACTTTGAGTGTGGCTCCCTCGCTGCTGGAGAGTGAAGGGAATCGTCGTCAAGACGTGCCGCAAGGAAGCACCGTTGTTCTCGACTTGCTGGACTTCGTGCCGTGTATGAGCTACAAGTACTGGCACTGTGCTGAGTGTTGAAATGACAGTGGCTGTGAATGCGCCTACGAATCTCGCTCACAGATAGCGACGCTGCCCCGGCTCGCGACGTACAGTACATAGTACATGTACAGTCGTGTCCAGTACATACATAAAACCTTTATAAATGGATACATTGTAAAAATGAGTGCTTATCCACCCGGCTCGACTTGCTACCCATTCCGGTACTACCAAGGCCGTCAAATTTTTAGCCTCGATACTAGTATTTGACAAGCTTTTCATGCACTACCACACGGCGTGAATGGCTTCTCGTTCTTGACGGGACTGGAAGGAAGTGGCGCAATGGTAGATGAGGCTGCCGTTGCACGCTGAGAGCTTCGTGCGCATCCATATCTTTCATGTGCACCTCTGGCTCACACCTAGCAACAACAGACGTGAGTGCATCAAGCCAAGCCAAAGCACAGTGCGTACATCAACCATTGGCGACCATTAGCGCAAGAGAGACTGCGCAGATGGTACCTCGTCGCGAATATACGTCCGATACGACCGACAATCGAGATGTGTGACCGGTTGCACGAGACAAGTGGGAGCTCGCACACCTTGCTAGGCGTGTCGACGTGGCGACATCTACATCCAGCGACGGAAATGAGCTAGCGTTACGTCGATGGTGCGTGCCTTCATCAAATCGGCGAGAGCGCGGCGACGGCATGAACAGCGCAGCGGCTGCCCAAGATACGATCTGGAGCCCGAGACGGCCTTCTTGGATAGCCATACATCGTCGAATCGGGCCTAGGCCGTAGCACCAATGGCCGTACGCAGGCGTCGTCAGCTACACCGAATGGTACCCTTGTAGAAGCGAGAACGAACACGCATTTACAGCACGCTTTGTATAGGTAAATAGCACCGGTTTACGAAATAATCCTTTGGTCTGGCTCCGAAAATAACACCCAGCGGAATTCCAATTTCGTAAAACGAGCTATTGGCGCCACTATCTGGCGTATCCGGCAAATCCGCATAATTTAAGCTCGCTTTTAGTATTGATACGTATATGGCCTGCATTGGTGCAGCTACGCAAGACAAAATTTGACCGCAGACCAAGTGCACGAGATAAGAACTTGATTTTGTATGCGTATCAATCAAGCGATGACATTTTGTGCCAAATTCGCAGTTTAGAGCGTTCAAAATCAGTCGTGTCTCAAGCCACTCGCCTATTCTCTCTACCAGTAC